TTTTCACTGAATTTGTTACTTTATATTTAAAGAAAAACAGTGGAAATAAAACATATCCCACTATTTTTAACCTGTTTTGTCTTGGTGTCACACTTAGAAATCTTTAAGAGTTGAATTTGGAAGACAGAACAACATTAATACAACTACTTAATTTATAGGAAAAAAAGATCAGCATAATTTAGGTTAATCTACACTCTTTAATAGTTTTTTTCTTCAATGGGTATTCAGTTAATAGCTGCTTAATATCTTTACAACCGCGACTCATTGCAGCAACAAAAAACAATGCCAAAGGCCTAGTATCAGAAAAGCACCCTTATTCTAAATATATTTTAAACTAAAGTTTAAATTTAGTTTTAAATATATTCATGTTTTAAGAAAGACTTGTCACATTTTAATTTAAGGCTGTCCATAATGAGGAAAAGGGGAAAAAGCACTGTCCAAATCATGGATAAAATTCAGCTGCCTTGTTACAATACCCTCAGTCAGCAGGTCAATCCATACATACATCAACCCTCAATGAAGCAATGAGCTTGGATTCTGTCATGACTGTGACCTTCTTAATTTCTTCATGAGATGAAATATAAGGTATTTTATTTCTGCTGTAATTTGTGTTCATTTTAAACAAAAATTAAAAAGATCCATAAAGATTGCAGATATTTGCAATATTCTCATGGCTTCTGGAAGAAAGCTGACATTTTGTTCAGGTGGTAAGTCAGATCTGAGGTTATCTGACGGAGTTTTCTGAGGTACAGAACTGAAGCCAGCAGGAAGATAAGGACAGCTTTCAGCGTCCCAGCATTTTGTGTTCTTTGTCTCCACCTTCTGCTTGGAAAGGATGTGAGTAACAGGGAGTTAAGGCATTGTGATTTCTAATTAATTTGGAAAAATCTGGGAAACAAATAACAATGGAGGAGAATCTCTCAAATACAAAAAGGCAACAATAAAATACTGAACATATTAGCAATTATTTTAAGAAGGCAGGCCAAATAGTTATGTGACACCAGATTGGTGCTTGTTGCTGACTTGGATTGAGTAGTCAAAAACTAATAGCAACAATACACAGTCACACGAACTGATTACAGATTGAGATATTTGCTGGGGACAAGAAGAAATATGGGGTCAAATCACAACTTGGGTTTGATTTATCTTGATTTAAACAATAATTTAAGCAATAATGGGTTACCATCAACTCACCCCTTCTATTACAAAAATTGCCATTGCACTTCTCTACGGTGTTGTTATGGAAAACAGAAGCAAGGTAAATTCTCCGGTTCTAAGGACAAGACAATCAGGTTAAGTTAAAAGAACTGCCTGTACTTGTCATGTCAGAATGTCAGCAGAGTATGCCACTGAAGATACCTAGAAAGTAGGAAGATATCAAACTTCACTTGAGAAGGAAAGAAAAAAAAAGACAGAAGATACTGATAAGAGTATCTCGTAGGCGGTGGATTTCTGTGATTAACAGTTTAATTTACTTCACAATATTTTTTTTTTGTTATGTACAACTTTCATAACTTTGAGGAGCAAAATTTTTCTAATAACTTTATTTTCCCCAAAGACTTCATGGAATATTAGAGGCTTTTTATTGAAAAATAAAATGGATTAAATTTTTTCACTGTAATATTTAAGCCTTTTAGAACTGTGCTGCACTGGCAGAAACAAAATTAATGTTTCATTAAAATTCTGCTCCCGAAAGAACTTGAACAGATTCCCCATTGACAAAAATCAGCATATGTTCTCATTTTAATAAAAGCATACTAATTCCTAACAAATAACAAAGCCTACCTGAAAAACAGCCTGTTTTAAAATTCCATCTGCCATTATTTTCTGTCATGGTCCATAAATATTTTATGAACTGTCAAATTGATTTATGTATCATAATTGAAAGCAAAAAACATAATCCACCAAAACCAAGTGAGCTAATGAAAGAAAAACTGAAAACAATTATATTAAAAAGAGAGTGTTCAAAGTTTATCAAAATGCAATGGAGTAACTGTATCTAGCAATGTAAAGCACTGCAAACTGAGAAGATATGAGAAGATGTACATTACATAACTCATAGGAAGTTTTAGTGGTAGTAATTAATGCAAAAAAATTATTTTTTTTTTACAATAACACCTTAAACCCGAAGATGGAGCTCTTGAACTGTTTATTTAAAAAGAACCAGAAAAAGTAAAAGCAATACAGTTACGAAAGGAAGATACTGTAGAACTTCTGGATTTACTTTCTTAGTATCTGCAATGGCATTGCATGCTATGTTGTGAGAAAGTCAGTTTAAATTCTCTTTCATGTGCATACACATTTCACTCGCATAGCACCCATTTTGCTCTGCAAATCTTTCTGTCCACAAATGAATTCCAACTCTCAAACACTCTTTTCCTCACATTTGAGACAGTCTTCCAAAATTTTTTCAAAACTTTTTGTTAAATTTCTTACTGGAATTCCTTTGGAATTGATATGGTACTTGCTGCAGCAGTGTCTAGTACAAATGATTTTTCCCGTTCCTTCTCTCTGTTTAAAGAGTGCATGTGACCAGGTTAAAGACTCCCATTCCACAGGGAAAAAATAAAGTATGAAAAAGTCAGTAAGTCCCACAGAAAGAGCAACAGAAAATGAAGTACAAGGGAACTGCTTTAATCACATTTTAAAGTCATTAAATATATTATTCCATCTCTTCTGTCTGAACCCATCCTTAATAAGCAGTGGGAAAAATCCTTTGTTTCAGTACTCTCATAAAAAATTAATGCATTTCTGAATTAACTCCCTAATAAAGTTTTTTAATCAGACAAATACACTAGAAATACATAGGGTCTGATTCCTCATTGGCTTGTGCTTTTTACAGGCACTATTCAAAGTATGAAAAACAGTTCCTTTTGCAGAAAAATACAAATGAAGAAAAACAGTTTGCATAGTGATCAGACACATAGAAGTTTGGGGCAATTCACTCCCAAGCCCAGGCTAGTTCAAACCTCCCAGCTTTATATGACCATGCCCTCAAAAGGTACATTTGACATATAAAATATCTGTTGTTTGAGGATTCCTTGCTTTAAAATTGGACTGAGTTAATTCAACAGCTTTGCTACTAATTTCTGACATGGAAACAGGCCAAAAGAGCCTGCAGTGAGTTAAATTCAAGTGTAAAATGCTAACATCTTGTTCAATGCATTTAAATTCTACTTGTACAGCAGTACAGACACTATTGAAACACAGGAAATTGAGCTCTTATATTTCTAAGTGGTTCTGCATATTGCAGGAGTCTCAATTCAAGATGAGAAATAGTAGGTGGACCACACAGGAAAACAAACCTTCGTGCTCCACCCTGAGGAGAAAGTTACAACAGCCTCAGGTGAAGAGCGGTCTCTTTCCACTTCTTGCCCAAAGGAGGAACCAGGATATATTAGGCCAAATTAACATTATTCCTATGCCCACTGAGTTGAAAGGAAATGCCGTTCACCCCCTTAAAGTTTCACATCAAGCACTACAGTCAAGTATTGTCAAGTATGAAATACATCAAGTATTTAATAAAATATTTTTTCTGAATCTTTCAGCCTCAGTGTTGGAGTTGCAAAATCAAGTATATTCACAATATTTTATCAGAAAATTAAATTTAGTCTGAATCTTGCATTGGCAGGAAACAGTTTAGAATAAGGCTTAAATAATTAGTCAATTCATTAATTAACAAAGTGTTGTATTATTATAGTGTTCAGTTGGCATTGTTTCAATTCATTTATTTAGAACTCAAAATTCTATAAAGTGATAGGAAAATATTTAAGTCATGGTAACTGCTAAAATTTTATTGAAGTAATTATATTTTGAGATAGTTTTTGTAAAGAGATTTCTGTATTAAAAGATTATATAAATAGCAATTCTACTTACTTAAATTATTTTTCTCAATCATGCTAATAGTCAAGATTGGTTCTCTAGATCCAAGTATTTTAATGACAGCTGGCATTTCTAAACTGTCTGTTCACGGTAAGTGCAGAAACATTACCATTTCTATTACTTATCATTTTAAAGTCATACAGGAGAAATAATTTCAGTTTCTAATCTATCTCATTTAAGTGTAACCCTTTAGACAAAAAGCCCGCAAGATATAAACTGTATTATGTTTTGCAAGTGGGTCTTTATATTTTCTTTCTGACAACTACACCACTCATGTGTTTCCTAAGCTCAAAAAGAAACCTCTTTATCATAGAGCATGCCAAAGTTAAAAATGCAGCATCTTTCCAGTAAGACCAAAACTTCCTTTAGATGGCTCAGAAAACTCAAATTTAACTAAGAAACTTCAATAAACATGCTCTACATTGTCCTCAAAAAGTTTAATTAATCAGTTAGGGTAAAACATAGTGCCAAAACTGTCATTATTAAAAAAAAAAAAAAAAAAAAAAAAAAAAAAAAAAAAAACCACACCAAAATTAAAAGTCTCATGTTCTTTACATCAGTCTGAAGCTCAGCTCAGATTGTACAAATAACATTCCAGGGCAATAAAATGGAAGTGTCTTTTCTGGAGCAGACAATGTCTATGATGCCTACTCAAACCAAAGACAAAATAGAGACTCTGATGTGACTATGGACTGAAATACTGCATGTGGGTTTTCCTTTTTTGTCAGAGAGTAGAACTTTTAATGTCATCTTTGATCACAAGCAGGCCATAGAATAAGATCCAGCACATACATACACTAATTAAATAACCTGGTTAAATGCTACCAGCCAGCTTAAGCAATTTACTGTGTTTGCATTGCAAAGCCTCACTAGGAAGCAGACACTGTTACCCTCACCCTGGCATGCAACTTTGGCACATGGGAAGGCTAAATACCCCTCTCTCCAGCACTCTGCCCATTTCTGTGCGGGAAAGGAATCAAAGTAGATAATCCTTGAGCTTTCCTGCATCCATCTGCAAATTCATACAGGGAAAAGAAGCTCAATCCCACGGGGTGAGTGTAAGTGGGTAAAGCGCTGGCAGGTGTAAAACAAAACCCACAGGAGAAAGCTCCTGCATCATGGAACAGCATGTCCCAGACGGAAACACCAACATAAAACCGGCAGGCTGCGAAGAGGGCGGGCCAGAGGAAGAGGAAAAGGTGGAAGAGGAGAGGGTGGGCCGGGAGGTGGCCGCAGCCCTGCCCGGCCCGGCCCCTCAGGGCGGGCCTTCCCTCCTTCCCTCCTTCCCTCCTTCCCTCCTTCCCTCCTTCCCTGCCCGGGAGCTGCCCGGGCGGAGGTGGCCGTGGGGCTTTCCTGGCCGCAGGGCCCAGCTGTGCCCTCTCCTCTGGCGAAAGCAGGGAAGGGAGGGGAGGGAGCAGAGCAGAGGCTTTCACATCCTCAAACCCCAGGGAAACATCTGCTGCTGCCGCCGCAGGTTTAGCTAACTTATCCCAGCCCGTCCCCGCTCCGGGGCAGCTCCTCTGGAGCAGCAGCCGACTGCGCCCGGCCAGAGGGAAGTCCTGGCTGCTAAAGAACTAAAGAGCTAAAGAACTGAAGTGCTAAACTGGACATTGTCATGGGCATCCACAGCTCTGCTGCTCCGTCTTCTTTGCACTACTACTAAAAGACAATTAAAGTGTCTGGAATTCGAGGGCATTTGCATGCTCCTGAGGCATTCGAGTATTTAGAATCTGTGCTGCAGTAGAGAAGGGATTTTTCTGAAAGATGGAGGCAAGGAAAAGAGGGGAGAAACATGAGGAATTATCTGGGGAGCAAATAATGTCTGAAAGAAAAATATCATTTTAGTGGAATATTTGGTATATTGTTACTTTTCCAGAGAATTAAAGCAGTTCTTTATGTCAAAAAATCAAGAATGATCCACAGGAATCCTGAAGCAAAGTAACAAGGAGATGTAGCAGAGAGGACTTAAGCCTGGACACAAAACCAGTTCATCCATATGCTTCTTTAGGCATGGATCACTTCATAATGTTGACAGTAGAAATAATTCAGCCTTCCTTGGCAAATTCACTTACCAGGATAAACAGAATAGAATCCCTGACAATAAAATCCAAGACAGCTTAAATTGCATTTCATTCTACAAGATGAATGCAACAAAACAAGAGCCACCCTTTGTGATGTCTTACATCCTGTGCCTTACCTGGGTCCCATGTCTTTACCTCTCCTGTCATCTCTTTCTAAATCTTTCCAGGAGGAGGTAAGAAGGTAGGGAGGAAAAAGTCAATCTGCACCACTGAATGTAATTTCTAGTGTGAAACTGATAATATTTGATATGGAAATTACTGATAGTCAGTAAATATAGACACCAGTATGACATTTTAAAGGCTCGTTACTGGTAGAAGTCAAATTTTGGAAGTTTCTTTTCACTCAGGTAACTGTAGAGTTATGATAGAAAGTGGACACAGGATGTACCAGACAGAGTTCTATGTTTTCAGTGTGTTGGCTTAGCCTTACAGTGCCCACACTGCATATAAAACATTCTCAGCTGTCACTACAACTTGTTATGTGTGTCCCCTTGAAGGGCACGCATGCCAGTGGTAGGCATGAACTGTCACACCAGGAGAAATTTCATTAAGAGGTGTTTTCCATCATTACCAAGTAACAGAAAAAATCTAAGCATGCAATGGCCCTTTTCTTTCCTTACCATACTTGATAATCTCTTTTCAGGAAAGAATTCAGTAGTTGAACACTGCCATGCTCTTCTATGCACTGCTTTTTCTGGAGAATGACTTCTGCTTTTACTGTGATTTATTGTCTGGGACTTCAGAATCTTGGAGAAACAGGATCAAATTGCATCTTTTAGGTTTACTGCACACAAGGAAAATAGAAGAGAATAACTGTTTTCTGATGGACCTGAAAGGCAGGAAAATGCCTTTGGAAAGTCCTCAACTGCCTCGCCAGCTGAACCAGTTTACAAGATGATCACCAAGGGTATCCGAGTCAGTTGAAGAAGATGTGTATGTCTGGTATGAGGGGTCTTGAGAGCAATCACGGTTTTGCCAGCTTTGAAGAGAGAACAGTAATTATTTCCTTAAAATCTATCTTTTCACCCCTCCAGCAGGGGCAAATTACCCTTTATTTCCACACCAGGATGTTGTGCCTTTAACAGATCTCTGCTCAGGTTTTGTGAGTCCAGCAGCAGGAGCTGAACAGCAGCCCAGTGTTGGAAGAGCTATTGAATCCCTGGCAGGCTACAGCAATAGGGAACCTCACCAGCATCCCCATCACAGCCTGACCACAGAGACCTCCTGGAGGAAACCAGCCAGGACAGAAGGGGGAAGTCCAGGGTATGACTCAGGCGTAAAGTAAACTACTTTTTTAATCACTGAAGGAACTGGTGGGGCTTAACAAATAAATAAAATGAGTTTCTGAACTCCATTCCCCAGGGTCCTAAAGGAACAATCTTGTAAAATACATTTGTCTTGGATATTTGAACCGAATATAACTGCAGTAAACTGTTTGTATGATTAATTGTTCCTGCTGTAGCAAAGAGGTACCAGTCAGCAAATTCTAATGAGAATTCTATTGCTAAAAATAATCCAATTTTTAAGGTAATTACTGTTTTTTTTAAAAAATCTATTTATGTAAAATGTGAAGTTATTTACCATAGTTCTAATGAACACCTACTTTAAAGCAAACTGAGAAAACCAAATCATTCCAAAGCTAGGAAATCCCCTTGTATCCCCGGGATATTTCTGTATTTTAGTGTATTTTAATATTTCCTGACAAGTTGCAGTGCAGCACGTTTAGACACCTGTTCCAGTGTCTGGTTGATCAGAGAACAGAAGTTTTTGAAGATTGCCATCACATACTGTTTAAAGTACACCATTACCCTCTTATTTCACATTAGTGTCTTAAAGATAAATTTGAGTCTGATTATTTTGTAGTGATTGTAGCACCAAAATGGAAATTCTCTCCTTATAACATCAAGTAAAATTGGCTTGATGGTTTCAGAATTTTCTGATAGAAATTGTGGAAAGCAGAAATACCTGTCCAGGACTTATAAGGATGGACATAATTAACAATAAGCATTATGTTTGAAGTTAGTTTCAGTGACTTTCACAGAGAAATGCTCATTACATGTAGCTAGAACACAATTTTATGGTATCTCACCCGCCATGAGATGAGGGGAGGCACTTCTTAGAACACGGTAGCAAAATGTAAATAAACTCCTAGTTCCATTTTGCTATGAAATAGTGCAGTTACTGCACAGTTAACAATACTTTCTGCACGTTATTGTCCATTGTACCATAAATTCTGGCAGTGGTTTTGGTTCCCGGTTTCTGTTCAAACTTTGCATTTTAAATCACTTCTTGCTTAATGCAACCATATAAAAGAACAGTAAGGAACCCAAGAAACCACAAAGGATAAAAAATAAACAATATAATTTTCCTTTTTTTTTTCTTGCCCATACCATGTAATTTTCACTCTTATTTCTCATTTACTATTTTCTTCAGTTACATATGAAAATTAGACCGCTGACATCAGTCAGAAATGTTCAGCTGTTTTTTTTTTTTTTTTTTTTTTTTTTTGCATCCTCAAAAAAAAAAAAGGGTTTGCAAGCCTCTAAAAAAGTGAAGGGGAAAGAAGATTTGAGATAAGCAATTTTATCTTCCCAATAATTTTTCAATGCAAAGAAAAGTGGGCAGAGAGAGACATACTCTGGCACATAGAGACACATCTGAAATGAACACAGACAAAACCTGAAACTGAATGACATCAAGTCAGTAATCTGGGTTACAGTCAAGAAAGTGCTCTGAAATGGACAGTAGTTCCAGGAAGCAGATAGAAACTGTCCGGTGGCTTTCTGATGTTGTTTTGTTCAGGAAAGTTCACTATTAGACTAAAACGCTGACTCTGCTGAAGTTGTCAGGAAAAGTCAAACTGAACTCAGGGACAAACCTTGAAACAGATATAGTGCAGCATAAATTTCTTAAGGAATTGGTGTAAGTATTCTTCCAAACCTACTATGCATTTACAAGTTCTTTCGTGATGCTGAGCTATTAACTTCGAATGTGTAGATATTAATATAAAAAGTAGATAGGTTTTTAGGTATTATTTTTAATGAGACTGCATAAACAAATTCCAGATTTTAGCTGTATGATTCAGACCCCAACTACCAGCCCCCAGGCATGTGATGTAAGTTGCTAACCTTTCTAGATACCAGTCCCAAGACATTCCACAGCTAAGTCATTTGGGGAAGTTGTGCTGAAAGAGAGATCAGTCAGGCATTTTGTAAGCAAATTCTACAGTCACTTTCTCCACTGTGTCTGGGATGAACATGAAAAAAAGAGAGAGAAGCAGCCTTGCAGCCTTTGAGACAGATGAGCTGTGGTGTATAAAAAATCTGTAGCAGACAGGAGTTCTCTATTGTGAGAAGATGTAGCACTGTGGCTTTGGCCACAACTTCGAACTTCTCTAGCAGTCTTTTGCATCTGCTGAGCAAAACAAACTCTGTGAAGTTCTGTAGTAGCAAAGCAAATGTGAGAAGCTGGGGAAGAAGGTCGTTCTAGGACTGAAGAATCAGAGAAAGGACAACAGCTGAGGAGCTATTCTCCAAGTATTCTCATTCCATATAGGGGAGGAAGACCAGCCTTAGGAGTGTTTCCCCGTGGAGTCCCCTTCTCTCACTCATATGGCAACAGAATTTTCTACCCTTTGCTCTGTGGTCTCAAGTTTTCTTTGCAGTGGTTAGGAGGAGGATGGTCCCAGATTTAACCATACAGGTGTATTTGTACTGAGGACCTGGTGATTAAGTCTTCCTGTCCAGTTTGTAAATATTATTCTATTTGTAGGCTTTAACACAGAGGTTATGGGGACTGCAGAATGGACCAGGTTATCTGACAAGTCTGATAAAAAGCAGAGATGATTTCTTGTATACATTTAACTTATAGATTTGGTAGAGTAAACATTAAAAAAAAAAAAAAAGTAGTTTACTCATGCTGCTACAAGATTTTTGGATTTCTCCAAAAGCCCATGTAGTTCAGCATTTCATCCAAGACTGTGGATGTTTAGTAAAGTTATCATCCTTCCTCCAAATGTTTTGCTATCATGGGATGATTTGTTGAGCAGGGATTGATGGCCAGGAGGTTGTGTGTTTTAGTTAATAGTCATGGATTCAAAGATTTGTCTTCATGAATATATACATTTCCTTTTTGAGCGCATCACTTACATTCCAGCTCCCTACTTATAGCTAATTTGTGAATATGTTAGGCAAAAATGTCCTAAGACCAAATGGATTATCTGGAGGTCTCTCTACAGTGGTCTCTACCCACCTGGAAAACTGATTATTTATCCCTTCCTTCTGTCTGTGATCTACTAACCAATTATTTATCCATGAGATCTTATCTTTCTTCTACTGTATCTTTAACAGGCTCAGTTGGAGAATTTCATGCAGAACTTACTGAAAGAGTTGTGGTGACATTATATTAATTTCTGTGGCCTTTGTATAGGAAGAGTCCCTTTCCCAGTGGTTCATCTGCTGAAGCAGTAATCATTTTCTCCACAGTAATCATTACTCTAGAGAAGTAATCATAACATTGATTGAGAGGTCTCTCAAGGTAGGATTCCAGTTCTTTTCCATTTCAAATATTGATAGAAAATTTCCTTAGGCAGTATTTAGGTACTTAGTAAGCTAAAAGTTTTGACTGCCGGTAGAAATAGAAAGAAGAAAGTTTAATCAGAAATAAAAAAAATGTAAAGTAAAGTGAGAAGAAATGTGCAACTTGAAAAACAACAAATGAGCTATTTATGGACATTCAGACCTTGACAAATTAGAAGTCTGGACAATGACCAGCCAAATTAGGTTCAACAAGGGGAATATTAGGCTGGATGTTAGACAAAGGTTCTTCTTCCAGAGGGTGACTGGGCACTGGAACAGGCTCCCCAGGGAAGTGGTCACAGCACCAGCCTGAGAGCCTTCAGGAAGTATTTGGGCAATGTTCTCAGGCATATGGTGTGACTCTTGGGTATGGTCCTGTACAGGGCCAGGAATTGGACTTGATGATCCTTGAGGGTCCCTTCCAACACAGATTATTTTGTGATTTTGTGAAAAATGGCCTACAGCATACTCAAAAATATCTGTGCTATTAAATACGCATAAAACAATTAAATGTGTAATAGCAAACTGCCTAATAAGCTAATAGGTCATCTGGAAATAATGTAAAAAACTTGAAGTAATCTCTTTAAGGCTGAATGCCATTGAATAAAACAACTGTGGTTGTTCACTAAGGGTTAGATTATTTATCATGCCTACAGTTACATATTTCATTTTGCTTTTGCTTTTCCTTGCCCAATAGCAGAATGATTTCATTGTTGATTCAACAACTCTAAGTCTTTTTTCTGTTGCTTATGTTGCCATGCATGTCCTCTCCAATATAAACTGATGGGATTTATGCTTAGTTAAAAGGAGTTTTCAGGGAGACATTTGTAGCCTTTTCTATCAAAAGACTAAAAGAGAGAGAAGTAATGGCAATAGGTTATCTTTACCTTCTGTATGTAAAGAGAAATAGAATAATTAACCAAAGAATCAAGTGAAAGAATCTAAAAGAGTCATTTGAAAATCTTTTATTTGGCATTATCTGTTGCTGGGCCCACTAATGTTAATACACCTATTTTTAAAATATAAGGGGTCAAAAACAATGCACAGTGTCTACAAGTCATATACTAATACTGAGCTGCCATTTCTTTTTAAAACAGGTTTTGCTTTTGTTTTACTTTGTTTTTTTAATTTACTTTTTGCTACTAAGCACCTTTAGGTAGCAGAATATATAAGACTATAAAAAAAATTTTCTAAGAGTCAGAATTTCTGCTATTTAATGGCATTTAGCGTAGGATTCATCTCATGAACTTTAGTTATCTAGAAGTTTGTATCCAGTCTGCGCCTTTCATCTCCACTTCCCCTGTAGAGAAGTGAAGAGAAACTGTAGTTTCCAAAAGGGCATGCTGCACGTCTCTCTTCAGCGTCTGTCAGGGACATGACGTGCCTGGTGTCCAGTCTCTACTTATGTCTCCTCTCTCTTAACTGATTATTCAAGTTCAGACAAAATAAATCCCTTCACTACTGTAAGCTTATTGGAGGAGAAGCTATCATTTTCACTTAGTGAGTGAGACCATTTTAAAGAAGATGATCATGTGAAAAATCCTGTGCAGTAGCTACTTGTTCCCCAGCAAGCAGCATAAAATCCCAGGCTTTTCATTTCCCATTAAAAAAGAAGTCTATACTTTTGTTGCTTTCTGCATCTACTTCACATAGTCTTTATTATCTATCTACCAGTGTCATTCATTAATGATTACATAGAAACTTTTTCTCTACTTTTTTTTCAATGGTTGATCTAGAGCTTACAAAGGAGTTCCTGGGGATGTTTTCTTCCAAAATACAACCTCCAAAATAAACAGGGGAGATGTTGGATGATCCTGTTTCCCAGTATTTCACAAAAAGAAGATACAATCGCAGACCTAAAATAAGCCAAGTCAGTGAACAATTTCTAACTGTTTTTAGGTTTGCTAATGAAAGGGAACCTAAATTTTGTGTAGGTCATATACATAAACCCACAAAAATATTTTCAAGTAAAAAAAAAATCTCAAATGCGCATTAAAAGTCACCACCACATGCCAGTAACTGCCTCATATTATTTCACATTTCTTATTTTTACCCTGGACCTCTCTGCAAATTGATACAGAAAACATGCGTGCAGAATGTCAAAACAGAGTACAAGGATATTGATGAAAAATTGGTTGATAGGAATGATCTACCTTAACAAATCTCACATTAAGTTAGTTTATGTGTGATTATTAACTTTAACAATTATTATTTTTAATAAACTAAAATTCATTCTTGCAATTGGTTCTGATTGCTGCTTGAAGAAACTATTAAGTCAGATTAATTAGCTAATGTTGCATACAAGAAGCACGTAATTATGGTTTTAGGTTGTCAGAGGCTTCTGAGACAGATTTCAAACAACATCTTTTACCTCTCCACAGAGATCTGGTGGTTTGTAAATTTCAGGTTTTGTGAGTTGTCTGAACAGTCCTTTTATGAAGTCTGTGGACAGTTAATTATCTCAGCAGACTAAAGTCAGCAGCATTCTATAACTAGAGAAGTTAAGATACAGTTAATAACTGTATCGAAAATATTTTCTGCATGCTTCTCCTGTGAGAGAGTTAAATATAAAAAGCAGAACAGAAGAAGCCTGTAAAGGGAATGATTGTCATGATTTCGTATATCTGATGTTTGCATTAAGACATGACATCTATGAAAACACCATGGTAATCATACCCACGCACATACTCAAGGGGGTTTTTGCTGTCTGTCCAAAACAATCACTTCTGCATTAGTGTCTTTTATTTACTCTGTATTTCACCTATTCAAATCCATCTCAGAGTGAAGCATTTTAGATGAGTCCAGTAAAAGGTCAGAGAAGTCTTAAAACGGGTCAAATAAGAGCTAAGTTGAGACAAAGAAAGAAAAATTGGTCAAAGTATGATAGAAAAATGAGAATATATCTCCCTTCCAGACTATGAGCCAGAAGTTTTGCTCAATGGATAGGTGAGTTGCTGGGCAGAGTCAGGCATCGAGTGGGAGAGACAGGTACTTCAGCAGGGTGGAAGAAAAGCATAGATAGATAGATAGATAGATAGACAGATAGATAAATAGACAGATGCTTAAGGTTATCATGGTTTCTTGAGTGACGCTCTTTCAAGGGAATATCGTGGTGGATGGTAAGAGTTGCTTGCAGGGACAGACCAAGAGAGAAATTCAGACCTGATGTTAAATTGTCCTGTGTTCTCAAGAACTCAATGAAATAAGTGTTGCTAGTAGGGAAGTATTTAAATTTTAAAGAAAACTTGCTTATACTGTCCTATGAAATTGACTGTAGTCCTAATATCAGCAAAGGTTAAAATATAAGATTGTGCCTGCTGAGCTGGTTCATTTAGCATATATGCCAAACTAAATATTTGCCACCGTCTTTTACCAAATTCAAATGAGCACTGTGTTATTCCAAGAGCAAAACTTTGATTTGTCACCACCTGTCTTTTGGGACCTCATAAATATTCTATCAGAATGTTCTATCTGGTGAAAAAAAAGTGATTGATCCATTTTGTATTTAAAAGTGTAAGCCAAAGCTCTCAATCCTGTCATATCCCTTTATATATGTAAGTACAGTGTCCCTGGGTTGTTTTAACCTTTGTAATTTTTGATTAAGCCCAAGCAGTCCCTCTCTCATATTCTGAAACAAGAATTGTAGCTGGACTATTATTTAATCTTAAGGCATTTTCTGGTGCCAGAGGAGAGTGTATGCTGAGTCTCCTCTGCTTGTGGGTATCTCCATCTTTTTACCTGTAAACTAGAACTCAGAATCTGTTATGTCCATTCTGTAAGAGTATCCCAGTCTGATGGCAAGAATAGCCAAAAAGACGAGAGATGACACATTTCTATCTTATTTCCATTTTCCCCCAAGCCTCTCTGAACATATGTATTAGAGCTGTCAGTTTTTATGTGCTGCAAGTTCAGCAGATGATTGCTTTCGTCTTGGGATATGCTAAGCACACAGGGCCATTCATTTCTGTGTTCTTTTCTTGTGGACCATTTTAATAAATAACTAGAATTTTGGAGCATGCAGTGTATGGTTCAGCTGCCTCCACCAGCTGTCTTATGAATAATGTACATATCTTCGATTTACTTTCTATCTGCTGTGTTGGTGCAGTAAATTTTGAAGGCATTGCTGGTGTAGTCTTAGTCCTACTTATCCATGTTCAAACTTTGAAACCTCACTACAAAAGCACCGAACACTATGTTTCACTTCTTAGCATGATTTTGACACTGCCTCTTGCATTCTTGTTACTTGGGAAAAGGGAAAAACTGTTAAAAATCTGATCTTGGGAGAAAAGAATGGAAACATTTTGAAACTATACCATACTTTCATACTTCAAATGTTTCCCGTTCTTTAGTATTAATGGTCTGTTGCGTGTTTGATGAGTAGCATGATTTGAATATTGCCACGTCAAAAGCATGCGATTGTTAACTTTAGTCACTAGATGGCCTTTGAGTGTGCAAAAGCTCCCTGAATGCTATTGGAAAACTATACTTTTAGCTAGGTCATTAACTTTGATGGTTTTCACTTTAAGCCATTCCTAAACCTATCTTGAGCTGTCTTGAGCTTGAGCTGATATTAAGTGCTTATTTGCAAGCTTTTGAGAAAGGAAAATTGCAAAAGTAACAGCTTAATTATAAGAATTAAAATAATAAAACAAAAGAGGAACTAGACTGGTTTCTTTTATTTAAACATAATTTCTCTTTTCATCAGCCTTTCCTGTGTGTCCTTGAAATGGTCTTCCCCAGTTCACATTTGTGAGGAAAGTACAGACAGGATACTTCACTGGGTAAAGCAGAGGGTCAGAAGCTGTAGAAATATTGCCCTCCCTGTTCTGAAGAAAAGACGTGATGCTGGGTGTTACTCACGTCAGATCATGTGCTAAACACTCCTGGTTGTTGGGAGCTGCCCTGTGAGTAGCTGGAATTTTTGAGCTACAACTTAGATCTGTTCATTTATGTTTCTTACATCTGTTTCAGGGTGAATGTATACCCTTTTGCAGTGCATCATGTGCTGTTACCTGTGTGGGGAGCAGGACATTATTCTTCATACAGCAGCAGATTCACAGGTAAAGTGAGTTGCTAATCATTGTAAGGTCATCACATTAGATCCATGTTGCTGCAAACAAGCCTATTAATTCCAAATTTTTATGGCATAATGTACCATTCTGATTATTTTACCTTCTGCACAAGTCATCTGATTTCTCAGAGCCTGCATCTAACTTTTCTGCTTGAATTATGACAAAAACAGTTTAAAATGGTTATTCAGGAATGACTGTGCTTTCAAAATGCAGCACATACAGAACACAGCATAGTGCTGAACAGAGATGTCTGGGTTGTGGTGAAGTTACAGAGTCATTAACCCTTAGTTCTGCTAGGTTGTGCTGCTGTTATGGTGGAATTTTGAAGAAGAGAAGCAGATATGTGTACTCTGCTGCAGGCAGACAACCTATCTGGGACTATTTGCATCACATGCTATCATGGAGGATTTGTAAGTCTGAGCAAGTGAATCTGTATTGCCTTCTCTGGAATGCTGCATCTCATTTTTCTGGTTTTCAGTGAGTGAGGCTATGGATTTCATTGATTTCTGCAGCAGGGAGACCAAGATCTCTGAGATTTAAAAGACTGTGGCATCTCAAAGCTCAAAAAAACCTCAGTTGTAATAAACTCAATTCCATCTGGAAAATTTTATTAAGTTTTTTACACTTGTTATCCATCCATGACTGTCAGACATCAAGACTGCTATGATTTGGAGCAGAAGAAAGAAGGAAGTCAGAAGGCGTAAAACTTTGCCTATAATTTGTTTTTCTCACTTTGTGTGTTTGCCAGTAGTTATAGAAAGTTGTGTAAAGGCCGTTAAACTCAACCAAAATTCTTGAAAAGTCAGATATATGCTTTGGATTGAAAAGCCTAAATATGATTTGTAAGTATAAAGTGTAAAGCTCTCTTAGTAAATAGTCACTTTCACTCTCATGGAGTAGCAGCAGCACTTCCTGCTTGCAACACTTGTGCAACAGCATCAGTGCCCAGGCATTACTCCAGAGTGAGACGCTGTTCTTCCCCAAACCATGCAAGAAAGTGGTTGCCATTCAAATTATTAGCAAAGCTGAAAGTAACTAAGAGTCATCTGTCATGTAACTGCAGAGACAAACAGGAAGAGTGGTGAACCTGGGCATGTTTTTTATGTTAGCCTTGCACCCACCCTCTCTTCCTTTTGGCAGAACAGGAAACCATCTTCTGTTTTTATTTTTTTTTTTTCTTAAGGAATTAGAAAAAAGATAAAAGTCTTGATCTGGGCTGTAGTTGAGCCTAAAAGCCCCTGATACAAGGTCAGTGTTGTGATGAGCTGCTGTGCATATATCTAGCACTCTAGATAATATTGTGAAGTGCTTTCCATGCAACGTGGAAGTCTTATAGATGTAAATCTAGGTGCAGCATGATAAAGTCATGCACCAAATTCCCACTGGGAATCTGTAGCACGGTTAGGAATGAAACTTCACATATCCTGAGCCCAAGCATGTGCTATTTTTTTAACTGAACTCTCATATTTAGACTTTTAAAATATTGCTTTGCTCAGACTTGGTTTTTATAATATTAATTAGGACAAAGTGATGGTCATACTTCTTAAAAATTAGGCTGAAATAAAAATGAACATTTAGGAATCATAATCATGTGTTATCCAGATCTTCTCAGTGGTTCAGATATGGAATAACTGTGGGTGCTTTCAGCACATGTAAAAAGCCATGTCATAAATGTTGTGATTCATCTAGAAGTGCTAAATTTTGAATATGAACTTATTAATAACTGTGTGGGTAATCTGATGACAGTCTAGAATAATCAGTGAAAATTGCCCAAAGAGAGCTATGGATGTGCTCTTTGGGTCAGTCTCTTCGTCTTTGCATGTGACCAAAATTCCTGGATCATAATTCGGTTCTTATTCTCTTCCAGGCTTTCATTAAAACCTGCATTTGGGGAAAATCATGAATGGCATAGTCCCTTGAGGTCTGTTCCAGCACTGGAATGTAGCATCATTCTTAATATCCATGGTTTGTATATGCACTCCTGAATTTGCTTTAGAATGAACTTGTTTCTCTTTTTCATCCCCAGATATGCTGCAATGTATGCCTAAAAGTTGGAAACTTCTACTATTTCTTTACCAAGGGTAACATAGAAAAGTTTTTGTTAAAGAAAATGACAGTCAAAAAATTAGGAAGCTGTTGTGGAAGAGCATTCTGAAAATCTCTCTCTGATGCAGTGCTCTTTCACCAAGAGACCTCATAAATTTTTTTATAAAACTTATAATCCCGCTGTACAGCTCAGTGCTACACTGTCAGAACACATGTGGTGTAGGCTTGAAACTTACCTTCTTATCCCAACAATGAATGAGATTCCAAGTTGCATTGATACTTTTTTGTGTTTTCAAGGTGTGTTGCTTGTGTGATTTTTAAGGTACACTGGATAACAGTTGCCCAGTGGTTCAAGTGACTTTTGTGGTATTTAGAAATGCACCATTTTTTTGTGCATACTTTCTTTTTCTTCATTTTTTCCCTACCTTCTCTACTTGTCTGCCAACTGTAAATTCTCTTGTATTTGCATTCTTGTTTTTTCAAACCCATGAAGTGTAAATTCCATTGGAATCAGTGAATTAAATGTATCTGCTTAACAAGATTTCCTGAAGAAGTATAGGATTGAAAATCTGTTCACATATTTCGCAGAACTGAGACCTCTAGGATTTCTTTTACAAGACTTTAAACTCTAAATTGATTGTGCCTGTTTTCCTTGGTTATTTTTGCTTTGTTTCTTAGTAGTTTGATTGCTAATAATTCCCTTATCATATTCATTTCTTTGTGGAAGATGAATACAGCATTTGGTTTTATATGTCACATAACTACCCATATATTAACTATAGGTAAGCAACTGAGTGCTAAATGAGTATGTTTTGTGCAGCTAGCCAGGCTTTCAAAAATAGCTCAGCAACCACACAAGAAAACCAGAATTCTGAAAGAGCTCACATTCTGGGTGCACGTTGATCGCTAAGCTCCTGCGAAAATCTGGCCACAAACACCACAATCTGATCTCCTGTATCTAACTGCTGCTCCAACCCACATATGTACCAAGGAACAGGAGGATAGTCCAAATACTGGAAAAACATCGTGTTTTCAGATGAAATTTTGCAGCAGAGCTGCAGTGACTTCCAGGAAGGCTCAGACTGATAAATTCTTTAAGCACTTTTGAGAGGTGCCATGTTATTGAAAAGTGAAAATAGGTAATGACAAAAATCATTGTTTATTTTTATTAACAACTACTTTGAAATACTGTCTTTCTTATTTAGAAGTGCATTTTGAACTCAACAATTTTGAAAACTGTAGAAAAACTGCTTTTATTGGATCATATGTTTTCCAGCATAATCACCTGCTGTTCTTTTTTTCTTAGAAATATTTATATGCATATTTTATTTTGTATAATTCTATTTCACCTCTAGCCACCAGCTTTTTTCCTCTGTTGACTTCTTCCCCAGTCTGCTACTGAAACAAGGTTATGTACTTTGTGGTATTTTAGATTCTGCAGGTGTTTTAAGGGTCAATGGAAAAAAGCCTCCCACGCTTTGGTGATGGGGATTTCCTCTGTAGCATTCAGGGGCTGGGCTCTGGTCTGATAGGCACAAAAAACTCTTCTCCCTGGTATTTGGAGCTCCCTTACAACCTCCAGTTGAGCTGACAGAACTTAATGTAGTAATAGTGCAGCACATTTAGTGCATTCCAGCATACGTAGCAGGAGTTCATATCAATCCAGGTTTGTTTCATGTACTTGACTTGTGCTTTTCGCTTTAGTGTGTCTTTGTTGTTATAACACAACAGCTTCCTGATTCACTGCAGAGCCTATTGGAATTTGCCTCTTGACATTTGACAAAAGCAGTTAGGACAGTGATTATGTTTTCTTGTTTCACAGTGAAAGCCCCCTCAATTAAGTAAAAAATGGGGCAGTCATCAGCTTTTTAAAACTTTCTTCTCATTCCTCAGCGCTCCTAATCCACAGTAGAGGGCAGTGCTTACACAATGCATGTGCACTCTCGCCAAGTGTTACTTACATAGTAGCACATCATCTAGTGCAGTGCCAGAGCGCTGATAGAACAGGTTACAGTACTGGTTTTTAACAGGTACAGATTGACAAGGCTGAAGTGACCTGTCCAGTGCCAGAGGCGTTTTGTGTGTGAGGAAGACAACAGGATCTGATCAAAAGCACTTGATTGAAATGGGAAACATGCTAGGAA